GGGGAAGTGGTGTGGGGTGGGGCTCACAGTTCCGAAAGGTTGGAGAGCCGAGTCAATCTGCCAAGGTCATTACGAAAACCACAGTCGCTGATTCTCCTGTGGGTCATGCAGCACATTGCGCAACAGCAGAAGACGCGTTTCAACACAGACGAACAGAACATGAGGCAACGTGTCATGCAATGTCACGCAACGCCACGCCATTCCAGACCAGGCATTTATTGTGCCATTGCAATGTTAATCCGTATCGTGCCATGCTTCCTGTGCTCTTTTCCTGACGTGGGTGTCACGCACAATGCTCATCATGTGCAATGAGACACAACAAACAAGCACATGACATGAAGCATGACCTGACGTGCTTACAGCCTGGTGAGCTGAGTAAAGTTCGCCATCCCATCGGGGATGGCGTAACTCGTGGATGGCGAGCAGTCCACCACCCTGGAAAAAAACGCACCAGGAGAATCAGCAAATCGAGCTTCATTCGTGCTGCCTTCATGTTTCGAAAGACACCATCACACACGACAGGCTGCAGCCAGCAATCAGGAATTCCCAGCTCTAGGGAAGAACCCCATGGGGACTCACAGGGATTTGAGCCACGTGATGTTGTAGAGGGACCCCCATGGAAATCGGTACACTTGTGAAAACTCCCTGTGCTTGGCACATGCGGAGAGCAGGGAAGGACGAGAGGGGTGGTGATGGTGATGGTGATGGTGATGGTGATGGTGATGGTGATACAAATGAGGGATAAGAGACAGACGAGCAATAGCTGGGCACAGGGAGGAGCACGCACATTCTGAATCCACTCGAACCAGACTACCCTTAACGTTGATTATCCTGGACTGGACTACACCAGGTATCGATGGGGAGGAAAAGCACAACGCGCATTCTCAGAATCTACGTAGCATGGCAGCCCCTTTCCACACGCACGCACACGCACACCGTCACACGCACACCCACACACAGACATCCTCCCCCCCCCCCCTCCCCACCACACACACACACACACACACACACACACACACACACACGCACATCCCACACATTTCCGTTAAGCACGTTACGTTCGACTGCCATATGAGAGCGCAGCGCACATGAAACTAACAACCCGTCCTGTCTACCCCGGTGTGCCCCAGGGGCGTACAGCTGGGTGAGGCGCGACAGCCGAGTGACGGAGGCGGGTTCCCAGTTCACCACTGCAGACGCGTTGACACGCCTGCGCACAGGAGGGATGGGCATGGGCGGTTCGGTTGGAGGGAGGGGGTGTGGGGCCAGTTGAGATGCGAGGAGAAGAGGGAGTCTGTTGGGGAAGTGCGCTTTTGCGGGTGGGACGGGAGTTTGTTTGTGTAATGCGGGAAGGGTCAGATCAGACCTACGTATGGCCGTCTGGTCTGGGTCAACCTCGTTGCAGAGAGCAACCGGGGCTCCAGGTGGTCATTCGTAGGTCTGACCCTTGGTAGGAATGAATGAAGTCGAGTGAAGGCAAGAGAGAAACAGATCCTTGCAATTACAGCAATCACAAGTGGGAATTGCAGGGCCTGAGGTGAGAGTGACAGAGCGGCTGTGAGTGCGCTCGGATTGAATCAGGCCCCAGACGCATGCATGCAAGATAAATTTCAAGCGAACATTGATTGCAGCAAGCAGTGCGTATGGCACGGCAAGGCACGGTGCAGTGCAGTGCAGAAAAGAACGGCAGATACCGCACAGCAGGGCGCGCACGCACATGGAGGTGATCATGCCGTCTGAGTCGCATGTGAGGCCTTGCGCTTGTTGGCAGTCGCTCCCCGCCTGCCAGCCCGAGAATCTTTTCTTCCATAACGACTGCAGCTCTTCCAACACAACACCTGCCGGACGGCCAGCAAAAGCAACCGTGAAAACGACGGGGAAAGGCTGTGAAGGGGTTGGGCTGTGCGTAGACTGCTGGTGCAGCATGGTGAAGGTTGGTGGTGGTGGGCGTGGGGGGAAGGGAGAAGAGCCGCAGGACAGGGCGTGTTTGCAAAAAGCAAGTAAGGACGCGGAAGAATGGGTCTTGTTAATCTTGAATCAGCAGTGATGCTCATCGTAACACCCCCTCATGCGCAGACCCGTTCACAAACAACTGGCCAGCTGGCTGGCTTTCTGGCTGGCTGACAGGCTGACTGACTGACAGGCAGGCCGGCGTGCAAGCCGCATCCCCACCCTGCAAGCCCCACCCTGCAAGCCCCACCCTGCAAGCCGGCTGAGGTGGTGATGTCTCGATTGGAGGGTTTGATTGTGAACAGCGGAGTATGACGAGAGCGACCAACGCACCTTGCGAGTCCGCGATGGGCTGTGCGAGCGACGTGCACGGCAGGCAGCAGCAGCATGCGAGCGCCGCGACGAGCGCCAAGAGACCGCGACGGGAGCCGCGATGCACCACCATGGCTGGTGGCTTTAGTAGGCGTCCGGTTGAGGCCGACAGGAGCAACGAACAGCAAGCAATAAGCTTGACGGACGTTTTTCAAATTTTGCCTGCGTGTCAGAATTCTAAATTTACCACCACGTAGCAGTCGGACGGACGGCCAAAACGGCACGTGGAGAATCTGCCGTGCGTTGCGCCGGAGCTAAAATTCGTCCCGTTATCTCTGCCACGCGGCTTTCGCGATGCGCGCAGCGTACTTCTCAGTTATACACTATCAAGGCGCGAAGAAAGAGCTGGATGTGGATTAACTCTTGGTAGCGAATGTGGGGCTTTTTGGGTGGATTCTCAGAGCGAACTCCTACATAATACTACGTGGGCCTTCTAGAGTCACCGCGAATGATTACCAGCAGGAATCCGGTGCAGCGGTATTATTTCAATTTCGAGATGGTGCTGCGGTTGGTTCACGATATGTTAACAAGGATGACACCATCATGAACGAGGGGTAGTACTCCGCCTTGTCTGGCCTGCTCGTTCACGGAAGGAAGGAGCGAGGGAGAGGACGGAGCGAGGGAGAGGACGGAGCGAGGGAGGGGACGGAGCAAGGAGTACAACGAAGCAGAGCAGGAGAAGACGGTCGTAGCGAGAATGCAGACTACGGCGGGAACAAGTCGACGTGCCGTGTTTGTAACGGAATGGCTTTACCTCGGCCACTCCTCCTGCCCGCCATTATGCCTCTCCGCGTCGCCTGGAATCTCACTCTCTGGAACCATGAAGTCGGCGTTGAGCCCAGCTCTGCTTGGCCCAAACCAAACAAACAACCGCACCAGCCGAGTCCCATGCCGTGCCGTGTACTTGCCACAATTATACAAGCGCACCTTTTTCCCCTTTCCCGCATAACAAACCCAACGAAAGCTAAGGGGGTCGAAAGGGGTTTCCAAGAAGCTAAGAGGAGTGAATATTGGTTGGAAAGCTGGAAACAAACTCGTTTTTGTATAGCTAAACAAATAGTGCGCCATGCTACACTAAATTTGACTTCACCCCAAACATTAAGAGTTTACTACCTTTTGGCACTGAAGTATCTGATACCGGTAGTTGTATTTGGTGTTGTTGTTCTTTCCTATATTTCTTTCTTTCCTATCTTCTTTCTTTATTTCTTTCTTTCTTCCTTCATTTCCTTCTCTTAGTTGGCGTTTGGAAAATCAGTACGATGTGCTTGAGATTTCAGGCCTGGCCAACACCTGTATTCAAAAGCATACATAGAGGGACATTATACACCAACAGTCATGCTCTGAAGCATCTATACACTATCAGCTCCCCTGAAGCAACGCATTCAGGCGTGCAATATCTGCATCCAAACTTGAAGTTGACATACACTGTGACTCCACCTGCAGGTCCACCTGCCGGGCGGCAGCGTTGCTGCGAGCACCGCCCAGCGCCACCAGCACGGCCTCCAGCTCGGCGGCAATCACCCCCATGGCCGGCCGCGTGGCGCTCTGCTTGTCGGTGCATCGCAGTGCCAGCTGCACCACCCTCAACACCAACTCATCCCGCGCCTCCATGCGTGGGTCCTTGAGGCCTGCCCCCACCCCCCTGTTGCTGCCGGATTGAGCCAGCTGCTGCTGGGCCTGGTGCCAAACAAAATGGTTCAAGGGTGAATTAACAAAAGTTGAAGCGTGGAGAGGATGTGCGGATGCGCTAAAATGAAGAGCGGAAATACGGCTAATACGGCTAACACGGCTACGGAGGCACTCTCTCAATCCCCACCAGCGTACCCAGGCAAGGATGTGCAGTGGCTGGCCCGCCTCCTCATCGCAGGGAACGGTTGGAGAATTGGTGACAGCGGCCCGACCCGTGATGAGCTCAAGCATAAGAATGCCAAAGCTGCACACCAGGACACCCCGTAACGGGCGAGGAGAGGAGAGGAGAGGAGAGGAGACGAGAAGAAACAATGAAATGGCCCCAAGAACAGAAAGGAACCAGCTGGAGCGATCAGAGGGTTGTTGCTCACCTGTAGACATCAGTGGCAGTGGTGGCCTTATTGGATGCGGAATAGGAGGGGTCCACATAGCCCGGTGTTCCCACCACTCGCGTACTCTGCACTGCTGTGCCCCCTCCCTTCCTCACAAGCCCGAAATCCGAGATCTTAGCCTGCAGTCATGGATAGAAGGCACCGTGGCTTGCACTCACACATTCATTACACCAAGCGCACACACAGGCCCATGTGTGCATGCCAGTTTAACAGAGCATCGTGGTAGGGCCTGCACCACTTTCCCTGCATGGTTTGGTCGAGCCCCACTCACCTGCATGTTCCCGTCCAGCAGGATATTGGCGGGCTTGATGTCGCGGTGAACGATGCCGAAGCTGTGGAGATACTCAAAACCGCGTGCCGCCCCCATCAGCATGCCCACCCGCTGCTCAAAGCTCAGCGGGGTCGCTGCCTCTGCAGGGGCCAGCGCAAAGGAATGACGGGCAGAGAGGAGCGGTAGAGAGGGGAGACCATGAGAAGCAGGCAAGGAGGCTCGTACGAAGAGGCACACCTGCATGGCCAACTGCACGACAAACCCGGAAATCGAATCGAACACTTCCCAAAGCACCGTCCGTGCACTGCTAGAATTGAAATGCACACCTTTCCCGATCCACTGCGAGAGGTCCCCATTGGGCATGAGCTCGTAGATGAGGACTTGCTCGACCTTCTTCCTGTCGGTAATCCCAATGGCGAAACCCAGCAGTCGCACCAGGTTGGGGTGGTGCTTCGTTGCCATCTCACACACCTGCCAGGCATGCATAAAACACAATACAATGATATATCTGACACTGCTTTGCGGCCAACTCACACACACACCGAACATCTTCTTATCTGTGCCCCTAGCCCTGCATGCATTCTTATTCTTTTTTTCTTGAAAATAAAATAATACTACAACACAGAAGTTTACATCTCAGGCCACCATATGACAAATCGTGTCATCGCATCACACCTCAACACACCGCACCATACCGCATCATGCCACATCACGCCACGTCACGTCACGCCACTTCACGTCACGTCAGGTCACATCTCATAACATCACATCATATGCACGCACCTCGGTGTCAAAGTCGTTGGTGATGACCTTAGCTCGCTTCACGGCCCACGGCGTGGCATCATCAGTGGGAGATACAGCACGGTACACGTCGGCAAAGGCCCCCCCGCCCAGCAGGTTGGCTTCAGACCACCCGTTGGTCGCTTTTACCACCGTCTGCAGTGAATACTCTTGACACACCTGCGCTGCCGCCTTGCTGCTCACCAGCGCTGTGGGGTGGAGGAGCAGGCGTGGGAGTGATGGGAGCCAAAGGGATGCGATCAGAAGATATGGTAGATGTTACAAGGAGCACCCGTTGCAAGGTGAAGAGAGTGTGCATCTAACTGATCAAGTGCGCACACATTGGTGCTCATAAAGGTTGCGAAATGGCTGCGAGGCACTGCTCATAAAGGTTGCTAGGGAGAGACAAAGAGAAACGGGTGAGACAGGGAGCAGGGAGCGGCAAGGGAGGAGGTGAATGGAGGTGGAACGACAATCATTATGGCAATCAAACCAAGAGATTCAGTATGAGACGAGGGCAGCCACATGACTCGTTGGTGCTTTGGCAGACAAGCAACGGCAGTGTGAGTGAGGCGGGACGCACGCTTGTCGAAGCAGTAGAGGCAGAGCAGTGCAGCAAGCGCTACAGTGACGACAGCACCAGCCACGATTGCCGCGATAGCCCACCAAGGAAGTGGCTTGCGCTTGTCACCTGCCAACAGAAGCGAGGACTCTGACATATTTTACCGGACAAGTCATTGACAAAAATCATTGACAAGTCATTGGCAAAAATCATTGACAAGTCATTGACAAGTTATTGAATTGAAGAAGCAACTCGATGCTTAAATGGAAACAGACTTCCCCCTCCTCCACCTCGCTTCCTCTCACGAGCGGGGCTCACATGTGGCACAGAAGTCAGGGCAGGTGCGGCAGAAGCCAGAGGACGCATTCTGAGGCACACCGCAGCTGGTGTAGCTGTCAGGGCACGTGAGACCACTGGTGCTGGTGTCTCTGAGAATGCCAATCCAAGGAGGGGGCGAAGGAAAAAAGGGGATCACGATCATACACGGAGATGCTTTGAGCCTCATCCCTTCCCTCTCCTCTACCTGCTCTCTCCTCTATCTGCTCTCTCCGTTATCTGCTCTCTCCTCTATCTGCTCTCTCCGTTATCTGCTCTCTCCTCTATCTGCTCTCTCCGTTATCTGCTCTCTCCTCTATCTGCTCTCTCCGTTATCTGCTCTCTCCTCTATCTGCTCTCTCCTCTACCTGCTCTCCTCAGCTCCGCTCGGTCCTCCATTCCAAGGCCTTGCACGTGGATTGGCCTGTTGGACTGCTTTGGGCATAGCCATCCTTGGCTGTCCTCTTCAGTGTATGTACCCGATCCGTCAGCTACCTGTCACTGGGCTAGAGAACAGTGCACGTTTGTAGAATTATTGCTTACAGGGTTGAGAGCTTGTCCAGCTTTCCAAGGGCTGGGGGGATGGTTCCTTCCATATAGTTGGAAGCGACATTTCTGCATGCATGCAAAGGCAAGGCAGATGATAGTAACGAGCGAGGAAAGAAGTCACGGGGAATGAAGGAAGAGACTGCTTTTGAAGGAAGAGATTTGGAAAGGGGAATGAAGGAAGAGATTTGGAAAGTCTGGATGGGAGCATCTTGCCATGGCTGGCTACTATCATACCGCAAGGTTATTTTTTTTCGTCGACTCAAAAATCGCCATAGCTGGCTAGGCTACTATCGTACGGCAAGCTTCTCAGCATGTGATGTGATGAGTCGATTTTTGAGTCGACTAAAAAATCGGTCTATCGTACGGCAAGCTTCTCAGCGTGCAAGTGTGGGTAGGGGAGGGGATGTGCCGTGTGTGTGCCATAGTAACAAGGCATCTCTTGAGTGGAGTGGACTCAAAAGACTTGATTGAAGCAGCTTGCAGTGGCTACAATGACAAGGGTATCAGCGTGCACGAACATCAGAGACACCAATTGTGGTGGATAGGCTATGAAACAGAAATTACCACCGCTCATCCATCGGATTATCTGTGGGTATGCAAGAAAAGCGCGGCAGCAAAATTAAGTCACGATATGACTGCGCAGAACATGCACATGTATGCATTGTGACAGTCAGAATGCACGTCTAGTGGGAAAAGTGGATGGAATTGAGTTATTACATGTGCTGTGAGAGAACTCACAGGCTGACCAGGTTCGTCATGGTTGTGAGGGATTCAGATAAACTGCCTCTCAGCCCGTTGTTGGAGAGATTCCTGATGGCACACGCATGGCATGAGAGGGAGGCATGGAGCATGAGAGGGGGGAATGGAGTATGAGAGGGGGGCACGGAATGGAAATATGTGGAGATTTGTTCCGATTCTTGAGTCGACTCAAAAGTCAGCCTGCGAATGCAAACAGCAGCAGAAGCAGGGGAAGCTTCACAAGTGGGGGGGGTCGTAGGAGAAAAATCAATCTGCATGTATTGATCTGCATACAAAGAAACAGGGGCAGGTGCAATGGCAGGTGCAATTGCAATTGGTTGTTCGTTAACATGCGCAGCACAGCAAAGAAGATTGCTTCTCAGAAACCGTGGCACGTACAAGAATTGCAAGGAGGGCAGGGTGATGTTAGGCAGCACTTGGTCTCCCTCCAACTGGTTGGATGAGAGATCCCTGTTGACTCATTCCACAGCCGTTACACACATGCAACAAGGATGCACACACAGGCACGCACGCACGCACGCACATGCATGCACGCACAAGAAGCAGGTATCGTGGGCATGATGATGCAGGCACAAGGAGCAGCTCATGGCAGAGGCTAATGGATAGAGGCAGCTACGCAGGCAAACAAGAGGGGGCATGGTCATGGAGTGCCCTTTAGAGTTGCATGGCAGCAAGGAGACGCATGAAGCAGAGTGCTTAGATTGGTTGGAGCATTGCCAGCTACACACTTGAATCGAGTTGACTTGAATTGACGCCATGTCCAAGTGCATCGACAAAGGAGGCAGGTCCCTTCATGCATGACGTGCGCGCCTAGGGTAAGGTATGATGCAGCGGATGCAGAACGGAATGGAGTGGAGTGGACTGACAGAGTGGTGAGGCCGGAGAGACGAGTCAGGTATGCAACGTTGTAGGGCCTGAGTGGGTTGGAGCTCAGATTCCTGCCGTGCCGTGCCATGCCGTGCAGCACGTGTGTGTGGGATGGGTGGGATGGGTTGGAAAGGCTTTTGAACGGGCGAAGCATGGCACCGATTGGGAGATGCGACTTGTGAACGTGGGCACTGGAATGACGTGGAATCACATGGTGGTGGTGACGACGACGACGACGACGACGACGACGACGACGACGACGATGATGATGATCATCATCATCGTCATCACTATGGCAGCAGAAAGCCTTGTGAGTGATGATGAACACTCAGCTCTTTTGGGTGAAAATCATTTGAGCTGTGGCTATGATGTGCCACCACTGGGGCAATGTGTCAAACTCATATGCTATAGTCTGTGTAGGCTGTAGTGGGGTAGACAATATGGGGTACAACACTTTTAGGTTTTCCTACTTGTACCCACCTGCTTGCTAGTTCATTCATCCTCGTTCTCTCACATGGTATAGAGCAGGTTCCCTAGTGGGAACGTTTCCTAGGGCCCACCGAATATCGATATTTTTTCCTGCCCGGAGCGCGCTTCGCCCCTGCCCTTAGTGGCCCGTCGCGCTCCCCTACGGCCCCGTAGCGGCCCCTCTCACGGCCTCTCACGGCCCCTCTCACGGCCCTTCGCGGCCCCTTCAGGCCCCTCGTGGCCCCTTCGCGGCCTCCCTTCACGGCCCCTTCGTGGCACCTTCGTGGCCCCTTCACGGCCCCTCTCACGGCCCTTCGCGGCCCCTTCAGGCCCCTCATGGCCCCTTCGCGGCCTCCCTTCGCGGCCCCTTCGTGGCACCTTCGTGGCCCCTTCACGGCCCCTACGCGGCCCCTTCACGGCCCCTTCACGGCCCCTTCGCGGCCCCTTCGCGGCCCCTTCACGGCCCCTTCACGGCCCCCTCGCGGCCCCCCTCGCGGCTCCCTTCGCGGCCCCTTCGCGGACCCGCCCCGCTGCCCGTAGCGACCCCGCCCCGTCGCCCTTCGCGGCCCCTTCGCGGCCCCGCCCCGCTGCCCGTAGCGACCCCGCCCCGTCGCCCTTCGCGGCCCCGCCACGTCGCCCCCGCCTCGTCGCGTCGCCCCTGCGGGACCCGCGAGGCGCGGCTCCTGTGCGTCGCGACGCCCCTGCGGGACCCGCGTGGCGTCACCGCTGCCCGCCGCGACGCCCTGCCCTAACCCGCGCCCTGGAGCAGCCGCCACTGCAGCAGCCGCCCCTGGAGCAGCCGCCACTGCAGCAGCCGCCCCTGGAGCAGCCTCCCCTGCAGCAGCCGCCCCTGGAGCAGCCGCCCCTGAAGCAGCCGCCCCAGGAGCAGCCGCCACTGCAGCAGCCGCCCCTGGAGCAGCCGCCACTGCAGCAGCCGCCCCTGGAGCAGCCGCCCCTGCAGCAGCCGCCCCTGGAGCAGCCACCACTGCAGCAGCCGCCCCTGGAGCAGCCTCCCCTGCAGCAGCCGCCCCTGGAGCAGCCGCCACTGCAGCAGCCGCCCCTGGAGCAGCCTCCCCTGCAGCAGCCGCCCCTGGAGCAGCCGCCCCTGAAGCAGCCGCCCCAGGAGCAGCCGCCACTGCAGCAGCCGCCCCTGGAGCAGCCACCCCTGCAGTAGCCGCCCCTGGAGCAGCCGCCCCTGCAGCAGCCGCCCCTGGAGCAGCCGCCCCTGCAGCAGCCGCCCCTGGAGCAGCCACCCCTGCAGCAGCCGCCCCTGGAGCAGCCGCCCCTGCAGCAGCCGCCCCTGGAGCAGCCGCCACTGCAGCAGCCGCCCCTGGAGCAGCCACCCCTGCAGCAGCCGCCCCTGGAGCAGCCGCCCTTGCAGCAGCCGCCCCTGGAGCAGCCGCCCCTGGAGCAGCCACCCCTGGAGCAGCCGCCCCTGCAGCTGCCGCGGAGCCCTCGCCCTACAGTGGTAGCGGCCTCGCCGTTGCCACCGTCGTACGCCTGCCCTTCTCGCCACTGGTGAGCACTGCCCTGCCCATACTGCTGTTACTGCTGCTCTTGCTGCTACTGCTCTTTCTACTGCTACTGCTGCTCCTGGCTTGGCTAGATGCAGCTCCAGCGACGTCCACGTGAGTCCCTCACGCCCCAGCAGCTTCGTGAGTGGTACGCTACTTGGGGTTGTCGGGGTGGCCGTAGTGGGAGTCATCCTGGAGTGAGTAGTTCGGCAGCTGCCTGTAGTGGCCAGTTGCAGCTGCAGCGTCGTCCGTGCGCGGTCCTTTCGCCCCAGCAGCTTCGTGAGTGGTACGCTCAGCGTGACGGGTCACGGGGTACTGCTCGCTGTCCGTACGTCATTCGCACTGGTGCTCGGACTGGTCAGCCTTGCGGGACGTTTCGTCACGCAGAGTCCCGCTGCTTCGCCCGTCTGAGCGACGCCTGGCGTACGGAGTTTGGCGACGCGGCTGAGCTCCCCGACTAAGTGGAGCTGCTTAGGCTGCGGGTAGATATCTATACTCTTGACTATGATGCTATCCTCACTGCCATGTATGCATTGCCTACTAGTGATGAGGGTGACTGTTACCTGTGTGTTCCGCCTGACCCGGGCATTGAGGCTGCTGCTCTAGGTGCTGGTGAGGCTGCTGCTCTAGGTGCTAGTGCGTCTGCTGCCCCAGGTGCTGGTGAGTCTGCTCTCTCAGGTACCACGTCGGCTCAGGCCTTACACACCTTCACCCTTGACTCGGGTGCTTCCCGCTCCTTCTTTCGAGACCGCACCACGCTTACGCCGCTTAGTCGGCCGGTTGCGGTCTCCCTGGCGGACCCCTCTGGGGGTCCTGTCCTTGCTCGCTTCTCCACTGTCTTACCGTGTCCGGCAGCCCCCTCTAGCACCCTGTCAGGTCTCTACCTCCCCTCGTTCTCTACGAACTTGGTGAGTGGTGCTGATCTACAGGATCGGGGAGTTGACCAGTTCACTCCTGCGAGTCAGCGGGTGACCCACTGTACGTGTGCTCGGACGGGCCGACACTTGGCCACGTTTACCCGTCGGCCGGGGTCGAGCCTGTACACACTGACTACTGAGTCTCCTCCGGTTACTGAGTCTGGTCAGGTAGCTGCGTCGAGTCAGGTGTTTGCTGCAGCGTCCAGGTCTGGTCCTGAGTCTGCTCCCTGCTCGTGTCGTCTCCTGTCCCACCAGACTCTCCTCTGGCACCACCGCCTTGGTCACCCCTCCCTGCCTCGTCTCCGAGGCATGGCCTCCCGTGTCCTTGTCTCTGGTCTCCCCCGGTCCCTCCCTCCCCTCCCTCCGGGGCCTGCCCCTACCTGCGTTCCCTGCGTCGAGGGGCGGCAGCGCGCCGCTCCTCACTCCTCCGAGTTTCCTCCGACAGAGGCTCCGCTGCAGACGCTTCACATGGATGTGTGGGGCCCCGCCCGCGTCCGTGGCCAGGGTCGCGAGCGTTACTTCCTGTTGGTGGTTGACGACTACTAGCGTTACACCACGGTGTTCCCCTTGCGCAGCAAGGGTGACGTCACTGAGGTGTTGATCGACTGGATCCGCGCAGCTCGTCTCCAGCTCAGAGAGAGTTTCGGCTCAGACTTTCCTGTTCTGCGTCTGCACTCTGACAGAGGCGGGGAGTTTTCATCTGCTCGTCTGGGAGCCTTCTGTCGTGCACAGGGCATCCGCCAGACCTTCACGCTTCCGGCCTCTCCACAGCAAAATGGGATTGCTGAGCGCCGCATTGGCATGGTCATGGACGTCGCTCGTACGTCCATGATCCATGCGGCTGCTCCCCATTTTCTGTGGCCGTTTGCGGTTCAGTACGCAGCGCATCAGCTCAACCTTCAGCCCCGGGTCTCCTTGCCAGAGACCTCCCCCACCTTGCGGTGGACGGGGAAGGTTGGCGATGCGTCTGCGTTTCGGGTCTGGGGATCTCGGGCGTTTGTCCGCGACTTGTCTGTGGACAAGCTGTCCCCCCGTGCTGTTCCCTGCGTCTTCCATGGCTTCCCCCCTGACGCGCCTGGTTGGCAGTTTTACCACCCCACCTCGCGCCGTGTTCTGTCCTCCCAGGACGTCACCTTTGACGAGTCGGTGCCTTACTACCGTCTCTTCCCCTACCGCACTGCGCCCCTCCCCCCGCCGCCGCTCTTCCTTGCGCCAGGTCCTCCCCCGGTAGACCCTCTCCCCCCTCAGGGTCCTGCCCCGTCAGGTGTGTCCCAGGTAGACGCAGTCGAGCCTCTCGAGGTAGCTGTTGACTCTGGTGCTGCTAGGGGCGCTGAGCCTGCGGGTGCCGGGTCTGGGGGTGCTGAGCCTGGGGGTGCGGAGCCTGGGTGTGCTGAGTCTAGGGGTGCTGAGCCTGGGGGTGCTGAGTCTGGGGGTGCTGAGCCTGGGGGTGCGGAGCCTGGGGGTGCTGAGCCTGGGGGTTCGGAGCCTGGGGGTGCGGAGCCTGGGGGTGCTGGGTCTGCTCGTGTGGCCTCTGGCGGTGCTTCGTCGAGGCGGGAGCTACTCTCTCCGCAGGAGCTGCGCGAGTGGTTTGCCCGGCGCTGGAGCCGTGCTGCTGGAGCTGGAGGTACTACTGTTGCTGCTGGTCCTGTAGGTGCTCGTACTGGCGGTACTGGAGCTGCTGGGACTGGGGGTGCTGCTGGGGCTGCTGGAGTTAGTCCTACTGGAGGAATTGCTGGAGCTGCTGGCGGTACTGGAGCTGACGGTCTTGCTGGAGTTGGTGCTGCTGGAGCTGCTGGAGCTGGAGCTGCTGGGGGTGTTGGCGCTGGTGGTTCTGCTGGCGCTGGTGCTGCCGCTGGGGGTACTGGTGCTGTCCCTGCTGGTTCTGGAGGCGCTGCGCGGCCGAGGCCGTACTTCGTTCCGCTCCTTGAGCAGGTTCTTGTTTTCCCACCCTCTACTGGTCCTGCTCCTCCCTTAGAGTGTCCACAGCCTGTCCAGTCGCGGTTACAGTTATAGCCCGCCTCCCCCCTACCTGCTCCTTCTCCCTACACTTGTCCTACTAGAGGTCTTGCTGAGCGTCGTGAGCCTGCGTCTCGTCCTGCGTCGCCTGTTCGTGCTGCTCGCACTAGACGTCGTGTTCCGCGTTAGCGTCGTCCTGCGGTCCCAGGCACACATCAGATGGCACTGCGTCCTTCCACTGCTCCTCTGCGTGTCCCGTTGCCGTCTCCTCCAGAGTCCTCTCTTCCTGTTCTTGCTGACCCGGAGTCTGACTCTCTTCGTGCTGCCAGTCCTACTGTCACGCGTCTCCTGGCCACTGTTGTCACTGACCCTTCCTTTGAGTCCACTGCTGCGTCTGCCTTAGTTGCTGAGCTTGTCGACTTTGCTGCTCGCTGTCGTCTAGACTACGCCGCTGGTCTCGTTGCTGAGTCTGAGTCTGTCTGTCCTGCGTCCGTCGGGGTTGAGTGTGCTCTTAGCACGGACGTCCTTGAGGACAGGCAGGAGGAGTTCCAGTGCTTTGCTGCTGCTTTGCCTCATCTCGTGTCCACGCTGATTGCCCCTGAGGGAGACCCGGATGCACCAGACATCCCGACTCCTCGATCGTACGCTGAGGCGATTGAGGGTCCCTACTCCTCACAGTGACAGTCAGCCATGGACGCAGAGATGGCTTCCTGGAAGTCCACAGGCACCTACGTCGACGAGGTTCCCCCACCTGGGGCGAACATCGTCAGTGGCATGTGGATTTTCAGGGTGAAGCGGCCGCCGGGTTCTCCGCCTGTCTTCAAGGCGCGTTACGTGGCTCGAGACTTCAGTCAGCGGCAGGGAGTTGACTACTTTCAGACCTTCTCTCCCACCCCGAAGATGACCACTCTTCGGGTGCTGCTGCACATAGTCGCTCAGCGCGACTACGAGCTTCACTCTCTTGACTTCAGCACAGCTTTCCTGCAGGGCAGCCTGCACGAGGAGATCTGGCTGCGCCGCCCACCTGGCTTCACTGGGTCGTTTCCTCCTGGTACCCAGTGGAGCCTCCGGCGGCCAGTCTACGGTCTCCGCCAGGCGCCCCGTGAGTGGCACGACACACTGAGGACTACACTTGCGGCTCTTGGGTTTGCTCCTTCTACAACCGACCCATCGCTGTTTCTGCGCACCGACACCTCTTTGCCGCCGTTCTACATCCTCGTGTACGTCGACGACTTGGTCTTTGCCACTGCTGACACTGCTGGACTCGCCCACGTGAAGTCCGAGCTGCAGAAGAGACACACGTGCACAGACCTGGGTGAACTACGCAGCTACCTTGGCTTGCAGATCACCCAGGACAGAGCACAGCGCACCATTACCCTGACTCAGTCACACATGGTGCAGCAGGTCCTTCAGCGCTTCGACTTCACGTACTCCTCGCCTCAGGCCACCCCTCTGTCTACTCGCCATTCGCTCTCAGCTCTGCCTTCGGATGAGTCCGTAGAGCCGAGTGGCCCGTACCCAGAGCTTGTTGGCTGCCTCATGTATCTGATGACCTGCACACGACCTGACCTTGCATACCCTCTTAGCATCTTGGCACACTATGTTGCTCCTGGGAGACACCGACCAGAGCACATGGCTGCAGCGAAGAGGGTGTTGCGCTACTTGTGCAGTACGTCGGGCATGGGGCTAGTGCTTGGAGGGCGACGTCGAGTGGTCCTCACAGGTCACGCAGACGCTTCTTGGGCTGACGACCAGGCTACGCAGCGGTCGTCACAGGGTTACACCTTCAGCCTTGGTTCCGGCTTTGTTTCGTGGCGGTCTACCCGTTCGTCTTCTGTTCTCGGCTCCAGCTGTGAGGCTGAGATCTACGCGGGGGCCATGGCTGCACAGGAGCTACGCTGGCTCACCTACCTGCTGACTGACCTAGGAGTGCCGCCTCGTTCTCCTCCAGTTCTGTACGTAGACAACAAGGCCATGCTGGCCTTGTGTCGGGAGCACAGACTGGAGCACAGAACGAAACACATTGCTCTTCGCTACTTCCTTGCTCGTGAGCTGCAGCAGCGTGGTCAGCTGCGCCTTGCTTACGTGGCCTCTGAGGCCAACACTGCTGATATCTTTACCAAGGCACTTCCGCCTTGTGATCATCAGCGATTCTGTACGATGCTAGGTCTTGTGCCTACTTGGCCACACTTGCTCACTTCTTGACCTTGCTTGTACTGTGATCTGTCTATATCTGCACTTGCTTGTTTTCTTTATATATAATCTTGCATGTGAACTGGCCTTCTGGCCTTGAACTTGTGACGTTGTGATCCACCCTGAGCTTGCTTTGCTTTGCTTGACTGGTCTTGTGACCTCTTGTTCTCCCCCACTTTGCCTATGAGGGTGTGTCAAACTCATATGCTATAGTCTGTGTAGGCTGTAGTGGGGTAGACAATATGGAGTACAACACTTTTAGGTTTTCCTACTTGTACCGACCTGCTTGCTAGTTCATTCATCCTCGTTCTCTCACACAATGATTGAAAAAACTCTCAAATAAATTCCGTAAACCTCGAAAGCATGGTTCTTCCGTATTCACCACACCAAGATACAGCAGGGCAGGGCACACAGGTGAATGGCGCACAATTTTACGAGTGTGGGGAAGTTGCTGCTGCTGATATCCCACATGGACGATATGCCGTTTGATGGCACCTCTCTGCACAGGGGAAGTGCACCGGGATTGTCCGAAATCAGTACACACGCGGAAGCAGTGATGCTAGTGTGCAAGAAAAGAAACATGGGGAGCCGCGAAAGGGAGGAGCGCAGGGGAGGAAGCGGTGACGGCGAAAAGCGGAAGGGCGGGCAGCGAAGGGGAGCACCTGATGCAGGTGCATGATGACTCTTGCTGTGACGATCTAAGGCTGAGGAGGGTACGGGCTTAGGGATACGGGTGAGGGGAATGGGTGTTGAGCTCACAGTTCGGAAAGATTGGAGAGGCGAGTTAACCTGTTGAGCTGATTTTCAAAACCACAGTCGCTGATTCTTCTGTGGATCATGAAGAACAACAGAAAGGGCATTTCACATAGAAGAACAGCACATGAGGCATCATGTCATGCAATGTCACGCAATGCCATGCAATGTCATGCAATGCCATGCAATGCCATGCAATGGCATGCCATTCCATACCAGGCATAGCTGTGCCATTGCAATGTTATTACGTATCATGCCATACGAACAGTGTTTCCAACGCTCATCATGCACAATGAGACAGACACAAGCACGTGCTTACAGCCTAGTGAGCTGGGTGAGGTTCGCCACCCCATCAGGAATGCTGTCTGTCATGTACGGCAAGCAGTCCACTGTCCTGCAGAACAGAAGAATGCACCAGGCACATCAGCATATCGACCTTCATTCGTGTTGCAGGCATGTTTCAAAAGGTCTCACCATACATAGACCGGCTGTAGCCAGCAAACAGAACTTGCCAGTTCTAGGTGGGAACTCACAGGGACTTGAGCCACGTGATGTTGTAGAGGGACCCCCATGGGATGTGGTCCACTTGTGAGAACTCCCTGTGTGTGTCACATGTGGGGAACGATAGGGAAGGAAGAGAGGTGTGATGGGAATTGGGATGGGGATGGGGATGGTGATGGGGATGGTGATGGGGATGGTGATGGGGATGGTGATGGGGATGGGGATGGGGATGGGGATGGGGATGGGGATGGGGATGGGGATGGGGATGGGGATGGGGATGGGGATGGTGATGGTGATGGTGATGGTGATGGGGATGGGGATGGGGATGGGGATGGGGATGGGGATGGGGATGGGGATGGGGATGGGGATGGGGATGGGGATGGGGATGGGGATGGGGTTGGTGGTGGTGGTGGTGGTGGTGGTGGTGGTGGTGGTGGTGGTGGTGGTGGTGGTGGTGGTGGTGGTGGTGGTGGTGGTGGTGGTGGTGGTGGTGGTGGTGGTGGTGGTGGTGGTGGTGGTGGTGGTGGTGGTGGTGGTGGTGGTGGTGGTGGTGGTGGTGGTGGTGGTGGTGGTGGTGGTGGTGGTGGTGGTGGTGGTGGTGGTGGTGGCTATCAATCTGTGCCGGCCGTGTGGTATTAATGTTAACGCTTCGGTATCTTGCAACGAGCAGCAGGGTGAGAAACAGACCCGCAATAGCTGGTTTTAAAGAGACACACAGGGAGGGAGGACCGCACGCAGCTACTGATTCCACTCGAACCACACAGAACCAAACTACCCTTACCCACACTAGCTTATACCTGCGTATACCGCATGGGCGTACAGTTGGGTGAGGCGCCACGTGAAATTAGAGTGTTTTTTAGACGTCTCAAGAAGACCGCTTGGGCGTACGTACAGTTGGGTGAGGCGCGAGAGCTGGGTAACGGAGGTGGGGGAGAAGTACACCACAGAGAGCGTATTGAAGCGCCTGTGCACAGCAGGGATGGGATAGGATGGGATGGGATGGGATGGGATGGGATGGGATGGGATGGGATGGGATGGGATGGGATGGGATGGGATGGGATGGGATGGGAAGGGATGGGATGGGCGTTTGAGGGGTGATGGGCGTCTAGGTGAGGATGACCTTTCAAAGGGGGAGGAGGGGGGGAGGAAAGGGGGGAGAGGAGTTTGTGGGAGGAGAGCGTGTTCTGCTGCAGCATGGGCCACAACAACCATAAATGGGCGTCTGGGCGTCGCTGCAAAGAGCAATAGGAGCTCTCTGAATGAATGAAGTCAGGTGAAGACAAGAGAGAAACAGGACCTCGCGATTACAAGCGAGAATCGCAGGGCCTGAAGAGGAGGACAACAGTGCGGCTGTGAGTGAGTGAGTGAGTGATTGAGTGATTCAGCGAGTGTGCTCAGGCTGAATCGGGGCTGGAAAACATGCAAGCAGCGTTTGGTTTGAGCGAGCATGTGGTGAGGCGGAAAGCTGGTGAGGCTAATATTATGATCGGTGAATGCAGCTAGTAATGGAGAGGATACAAGAATGACACAACACTGCAGTGTTGCGCGGTGCAAGAGCGGCAAGATAGGACACAGCACAGCACGGCACGGCACGGCACGGCGCGGCACGGCACCGCACCGCACGGCACGGCACGGCACGGCACGGCACGGCACGGCACGGCACGGCACAGCACGGCACGGCACGGCACGGCACGGCACAGCACGGCATGGCACGGCACCGCAGGGCGCGGACGCACATGGAGGTGATCATGCCGTTTCGATCGCATGTGAGGCCTTGCGCTTGCTTGCAGTTGCTCCCCGCCTGCCAGCCTGTGAAGTTTGTGCCCCACGACTTCTGCAACGCCTGTAGCACATCACCTGCCGCACAGCGACAGCAACAGCAACCGTGCAAACAAGCTGGGGCACGGCTGTGAGGGAGCGTTGAATGTGCGTAAACCGATGGTTCAGGGCGGTGTAGGAAGGCAGGTGGTGGGCGTGCCGCGTGGAGAAGGGAGCCATGCCGCAGGACTTGTGCCCAAGAAGCAAGCGAGCAAGCAAGCAAGCACGGACGTAAAAGAATAAAATTGTTCGTATTTAATCAACAATGATGCCCATTGTTTGGTACACCTCACACGCAGAACTTTTCACAGCCGCCTGGCCTCGCCAGCCAGCCTGGCTGGTTCTCGCCACAAGCGTCAGTGCGTCACCATGATCCCACCATGCAAGCCGGCTGAGGTGTTCACAGCGGGGTATGAAAAGAGTGACCGGCGCACCTCGCGACCAACGCACCTCGCGACCAACGCACCTTGCGACCAACGCACCTTGCGACCAACGCACCTTGCGACCAACGCACCTTGCGACCAACGCACCTTGCGACCAACGCACCTTGCGACCAACGCACCTTGCGACCAACGCACCTTGCGACCAACGCACCTTGCGACCAACGCACCTTGCGACCAACACACCTTGCGACCAACGCACCTTGCGACCAACGCACCTTGCGACCAGAGCACCTTGCGACCAGCGCACCTTGCGACCAACGCACCTTGCGACCAACGCACCTTGCGACCAACGCACCTTGCGACCAACGCACCTTGCGACCAACGCACCTTGCGACCAACGCACCTTGCGACCAACGCACCTTGCGACCAACGCACCTTGCGACCAGCGCACCTTGCCACCAACGCACCTTGCGACCAACGCACATTGCGACCAACGCACATTGCGACCAACGCACCTTGCGACCAACGCACCTTGCGACCAACGCACCTTGCGACCAACGCACCTTGCGACCAACGCACCTTGCGACCAACGCACCTTGCGACCAACGCACCTTGCGACCAACGCACCTTGCGACCAACGCACCTTGCGACCAACGCACCTTGCGACCAACGCACCTTGCGACCAACGCACCTTGCGACCAACGCACCTTGCGACCAACGCACCTTGCGACCAACGCACCTTGCGACCAGCGCACCTTGCGACCAGCGCACCTTGCGACCAGCGCACCTTGCGACCAGCCCACCTTGCGACCAACGCACCTTGCGACCAACGCACCTTGCGACCAACGCACCTTGCGACCAACGCACCTTGCGACCAACGCACCTTGCGACCAACGCACCTTGCGACCAACGCACCTTGCGACCAACGCACCTTGCGACCAACGCACCTTGCGACCAACGCACCTTGCGACCAACGCACCTTGCGACCAACGCACCTTGCGACCAACGCACCTTGCGACCAACGCACCTTGCGACCAGCGCACCTTGCGACCAACGCACCTTGCGATTCGGCGATGGGCTGCGCGAGCAACGTGCACGGCAGGCAGCAGCATATGAGTGCCGCAACGAGCGTCAAGAGACCGTGACAAAGCACTGCCATTGCCAGCAGCTTGGCTCTCCGGTTGACTGCGGCAGGAGCAACGAGCAGCAGGCTTTGCGGCCTTTAATAAACCGCCGCTCCTACCCGTGTTCGGGACCCGACGGATTTAGACCACCAGCCTGCTTAAATACCGCCACGTGGCAGTGGGACGGCCTGAAAGGGACGCGGGGAATCTACCGTGCGTTGCACTGCACCGAGCTAAGCTCGTCCCGTTCTCTCTGCCACACGGTCTTTCGAGATGAGCACGGCTTCCTTGTCAGTTATTTCTATCAAGGCGCGAGGGGTGAGCGGGATGCGTGACGAGACGAACCCATGGCAGTATATGTGGGGCTTGTGAGGATGCTTAGGAGGGAAATCCTGTACACATGGGGCTTCTCGAGTGAGAATAGAATGAGAATACCAACACGAATCCCGTGCCGCGGGCGATTTGATTTTTTTTTTTTTTTAATCCCGAAATGGTGCTGCGGATGAGACGCGTTTCGGCACCCGGACGGCACGCGCTATTTCGCCTTGCTTGGAGTGCTCGTTCGCAGAAAGAGGGAGCGGGAGGAGCAGGGAGCACCAAAAAGCAGAGGGAGCATTGCGAGAATGCAGACTACGCGAGAACAAGGCAGCGAAGAGTGTCTATTACGTAATGCCATTTTGATCTCTCGGCAAATCCACCTGCTGCCAGTAGTATCAGCGTCTCCCCGTCGCCTTGAATCAGCGGAACGAAAGGAAGCAACTGCGCAGTTCAAGCTCACTTGACCCGATGGTCCGAAATAACACAGGCCTGGCCTATCCAAGGGACGCGTGTTGCCTACTTATCGCGTACGATTATTGTTGCCAACTCTAACAGCGTGGGCCCAAACGGGTTTGATCGCCTCGATCAGCCGCGATCAATACTTTCCAGGAAGCCTGGAGGCCGAATTCAGGCAATCAGGGGCAATCAGCTGATCGCGATCAGCTGATCGCCCCAACTCGATCAGACCCGATTTTTTTCCCGATCATAGTCGATTCTCTTCGATCACCCACGATCAATTGATCGTGGGTGATCGGGGACCACAGCGATACTGACGAAAGTTACACTGTATTACAAGGATTCGTCAACCCCTCACGAAAATGTCCAGCCTATACAGAACACCCTAGAAAGTTACACTATATTACTTGGATACAGAGAGTTTCACCAGAAGCCGTCTGGTCGCCAGTCTCGCTAAGATTGCCACGATATTACCAGGTAATTGAACCCCGCTTGCTGAGCAGCCAAGAAGAGCCTTCTGAGAAAACATTACTGATCGGGCGGCTCGGGCATTGCGATCACAAGCAACCCGATCAAATCCGCCCCGATCAGATCAGTCGCGATCAAACCCGTTTGGGCCCACGCCCTAAATTACAGACAGAAGATTGTAAGGAAATTCGCTCATTCCTTACTGAGGCATCTCTTACGCGTACAATTCCAACTTTTCAGAACTCAGGCTCGGTCCGTCGACCTCGCCTTCCGAACGTCCTCCGCGTCGCCTTTGGGTTTCCCAACCCCAAACCTGCACCCAACCTTCGTGCGACTCCGCGACCTCGGCCTAGCTAGCCTTTCTATATATTGCCTAGGCCTCGTTGTTTGCTCAGTAGTTGTAATCACTTCCGCGATATTGCATTCTGCGCACTCTTCATTCATACAACTCATAACACCTGGTATCAAAGCTACTTTCCTAGGTTACCCTCCACTTTCCGGGGTAGTTTTAGTGCAGGGGTGCGATAGGTTTGGTGGGCTGCAAAGCGGTCGGCTGAGAGATAGATACGATTATCTCGCTCTGACTAATAGCGTTTGCGCCTTCATCAAAACCATAAAAATCGTTGTCAACCCGCTGCCCGTTAGGAGAAGCCTGCGAAACATGGAACAGGCGGAGTTCAACGAGTTCATGCAACAGTTTCGGGCGATGCAAGCCAACTTGCAGACCATGTCTGCAGAGATGGATCGCCTGAGGGAGGAAAACGCCGAGCTACGCCAGACGCGAGGTGAAGCGCGTCGGGAGTCGCCTGAGAAGAAACGAGGAATGAAATGACTAAGTGAAAGTTGGGTACAAAAAGCAAACCCTAGAAAACTGTACCCCATATGTGCCACCCCACTATAGCCTACAGTAGCTATGTCATATAAATCTGACACACCCCCATAGGCAAAGTGGGGGAGAACAAGGGGTCACAGGACCAGTCAAGCAAAGCAAAACAAGCTCAGGGTGGATCACAAAGTCACCACACATTCCGAGCACAAGTTCAAGGCCACAAGGCCAGTTCACATGCAGGATTACATATATATATAAGGCTAGACAAGCAAGAGCAGGAGTATATATATATATGCATCAGTACAAACAAGGTCAAGGGGTGAGCAAGTGAGGCAAGGTGGGCACAAGACCCAGCTGAGTACAGAAGCGCTGATGATCACAAGGCGCAAGTGCCTTGGTGAAGATATCAGCAGTGTTGGCCTGAGAGGCCACGTACGCAAGCCGCAGCTGACCACGCTGCTGTAGCTCACGAGCAAGGAAGTAGCGGAGAGCAATGTGCTTCGTTCTGTGCTCCAGTCTCTGCTCTCGACACAAGGCCAGCATGGCCTTGTTGTCTACGTACAGCACTGGAGGAGAACGAGGCGGCTCTCCGAGGTTAGTCAGCAGGTAGGTGAGCCAGCGAAGCTCCTGTGCAGCCATGGCCCCGGCGTAGATCTCAGCCTCACAACTGGAGCCGAGAACAGAAGACGAGCGGGTAGCCCGCCACGAAACAGAGCCGGAACCAAGGCTGAAGGTGTAACCCTGTGACGACCGCTGCGTAGCCTGGTCGTCAGCCCAAGAAGCGTCTGCGTGCCCAGTGAGGACCACTGGACTCTGCCCTCCAAGCACAAGCCCCATGCCCGACGTACTGCACAAGTAACGCAACACCCTCTTCGCTGCAGCCATGTGCTCCGGTCTGTGTCTCCCAGGAGCAACATAGCGTGCGAGAATGCTAAGAGGGTATGCGAGGTCAGGTCGTGTGCAGGTCATCAGGTACATGAGGCAGCCAACAAGCTCTGGGTACGGGCCACTCGACTCTACGGACTCATCCGAAGGCAGAGCTGAGAGCGAGTGGCGAGTAGGCAGAGGAGTGGCCTGAGGCGAGGAGTACGTGAAGCCGAAGCGCTGAAGGACCTGCTGCACCATGTGTGACTGAGTCAGGGTAATGGTGCGGCGTGCTCTGTCCCGGGTGATCTGCAAGCCAAGGTAGCTGCGCAGTTCACCCAGGTCTGTGCACGTGTGTCTCTTCTGCAGCTCGGACTTCACGTGGGCGAGTCCAGCAGTGTCAGCTGTGGCAAAGACCAAGTCGTCGACGTACACGAGGATGTAGAACGGCGGCAAAGAAGTGTCGGTGCGCAGAAACAGCGACGGGTCGGCAGTAGAGGGAGCAAACCCAAGAGCCGCAAGTGTAGTCCTCAGTGTGTCGTGCCACTCACGCGGTGCCTGGCGGAGACCGTAGACTGGCCGCCGGAGGCTCCACTGGGTGCCAGGAGGAAAAGACCCAGTGAAGCCAGGTGGGCGACGCAGCCAGATCTCCTCGTGCAGGCTGCCCTGCAAGAAAGCAATGCTGAAGTCAAGAGAGTGCAGCTCGTAGTCGCGGTGAGCAGCTATGTGCAGCAGTACCCGAAGAGTGGTCATCTTCGGGGTGGGAGAGAAGGTCTGAAAGTAGTCAACTCCCTGCCGCTGACTGAAGCCACGAGCCACGTAACGCGCCTTGAAGACAGGCGGAGAACCCGGCGGCCGCTTCACCCTGAAAATCCACATGCCACTGACGATGTTCACCCCAGGCGGGGGAACCTCGTCAACGTAGGTACCTGTGGACTTCCAGGAAGCCATCTCTGTGTCCATAGCTGCCTGCCACTGAGAGGAGTAGGGACCCTCTATCGCCTCCGCGTAAGAGCGCGGAGTCGGGATGTCAAGTGCATCCGGGTCTCCCTCAGGGGTAAGCAGTACGGACACGAGATGAGGTGAAGCAGCAGCCAAACACTGGAACTCCTCCTGCCTGTCCTCAAGGACGTCCGTGCCAAGGGCACACTCACCCCCGACGGACGGAGGACAGACAGACTCAGACTCAGCGACAAGACAAGCAGCGTAGTCTAGACGACAGCGAGCAGCAAAGTCGACGAGCTCAGCAACTAGGGCAGACGCAGCAGTGGACGCAAAGGAAGGGTCAGTGACGACAGTAGCAAGGAGACGCGTGACAGTAGGACTGGCAGCACGAAGAGAGTCCGACTCTGGGTCGGGAAGAGCAGGAAGAGAGGACTCAGGAGGAGAAGGCAAAGGGGCACGCAGAGGAGCAATGGACGGACGCATAGACATCCGGTGCG